GATTTGACAGATAGCAAGTTTTGGTTGCTCTTAACTGACTGCCGTAAAAGAAGAGTTATGTTTTTTATAGAATAAGGGTGACAAACGAGCACACAGTCCACCTGATGGTAAGTGGATGCTGTAGCCCATAGACATCTACATTTATCCTCGATTAAGAATCAAAACGCAGATGCATTGTCACCCCTGAGGAGGACTATCACCACACGAAACATATTAAAGTATTAAACTGCTATTTTACGCAGGTATTGTGAGAGCGTGGTCCTTCCCCGGTCGAGCCGACTCATTCGTGCTACAACCATAATCTCTCTCTCTCCTAGCCGCTACGCCCGTTCATGTGCTCGCAAGTAACTAGCGTAGCCGATCTTAGCAAGAAAAGTGCGAGCACACTTAGAGCAGGTGAGAACATCGTCGCAGTAATTATATTGTCTAGCCGCAGGTGGTCGGGCTTCAAGTTCCTCTCGTTTAGAATCTAGATCTTGTACGTGTTTGGCTTCGAAGGTGTTGATGTTTTGTCTCACAAGTCGCTTCCATTTTTGCCGGTCTTTAGCTAGGTACTCCCAAGAGGAGGGCTCGATGTTACATTTTTTCATGTGCCTCTTTAATACATCCTTATATCTTAGGAGCTGCCCGCCTCGTTTGCGCTTGCCTTCTTGAAGCTCGGAGTACATGACGCGTTTTGCCACTCTATTGTCAGCCATCCGAAACACATGACCACACCAACGCAGTTGCCGTTGCATCAGAAGTGCCTCCAAGCCACAAATATTAGCTCGGCGTAGGACTTCCGTGTTCCTGACACGGTCAAGCCATCGTATACCCATGATATTACGGAGACATTAAATATGGAATCTATCCAGAATTCGCATGTGCCTCCGATACAAACACCAAGACTAAGAGGAATATAAAAGGTTTGGCAAAACAACCGCCATATAGACTGCTATCTTAGTGGGTAACCTGAGATCATGTGAACGGAAAACCTTGGATCTCAATTTTCCGAAAGCAGCTGATGCAGCACCGATTCTTACATTAATTTCAGCTTTAAGGTCACATTTAGATGTTATTACGCTTCCCAAGTACTTGAACTTTTCTACAGAATTCAGAACGCCTTGATTTTAAGCTGGATCCGTAAAGGGCCAGAGTGGGAGCCGGTAGCCATCACTGCGGTCTTTGTGACACTGACTTTGAGGCCAAACTTACGGCATGACTCAAGACTAGTCATCAATCTTTGGAGAGAATTTGGGGAATCCGTCACAAAGCACAAGTCATCCGCGTACATAATTTCAGTTATTACGTCGAAAGACACCTTAGACTGTGCTCGCAGTCTATTTAGACTAAAAAGATTGCCATCGGTGCGGAAACGAATACGTATCTCTTCTTGCAGAGTATCTATAGCATCCCTGACCACTACAGCAAAATAGAAAGCAAACAACGTTGGTGCCAGGACACAACCTTGCTTGATATCGCAGGTAACGGGGAAAAATTCTGTTTGTTCACCATTTACGGAAACGCAGCAGGTCATTTCATCGTGTAGAAGCCTCACTACTCGTACGTACTTTTCCGGACATTCCAATTTTAACAAAATCATCCATAACGCTCCACGAGGTATGTTGCTATTAAACGCTTTCTCCAGATCGACAAATGATGCTGCTCGCTACTTTTTTCCTGCCGTTGACATACGCAAAAGAAAGCTTCACAAGTACCTCTCCCCGGACGAAAACCAAATTGGTAAACCGCGTCGGCTCGCGGGCTAAACCTGGATGAGGGTGGTCTGCTACTCTCAGGGCAGACTTTGTGACCGACCTCTCCCGTCTAGTGCATGAAGTCTATCGCGGCGAGGAAGGCAGCCCGTGCAGATATGCAGTAGGTTATGGCGGACTCGGCGTGGCAGCAAGGCAATGGTGTATGGCCTATAAACACATCATCTGAACTCCTCTCCAATCATACTGGTTTCCACTCCATTGTGCTAAGAAGTGGGAAGGCGAGTGTGTGCACCTGTGTAAGCGCGAGCACTTGTGCACCTAAATATATCCTGCGCCAATGACTGTTTTCGAAAAAACAACCATAATATAGCTGCAGTATATAAGTATGTATATGTATGTATGTCAATACTTTCGCATGCTCTATAGCCTACGAGTACAGTGGGCTTGATCTGGATTCTAACTCATGGAATGCCGTTACAATCGTCATAGTTGAGGAATAATTAAATATGGTACAAAATTTATCTCTTCATAATTTCTTTACGCACTAGGGTTTTAATTTGATTTTATTTGCTGCAAGCATCATCATCATCATCATCAGCAACATCCGATTAGAAGAAATAGTACTGGGATAACATAAAATAGACAGCGACAGTGGGATATTTCGCATCATTATTTTAACGTTTGTGTATTTTTGTACACTGATACTACTTGTATGGACCTCTGTTCGCCTGGTACTTTAGAGATAAAAATACATATAATTTCTATCGTTATATATCGTTGTCTCGTGCTGTCCTATCACTAAGTCTAAGTGATTGTGATACCACGAGACTTTATGACATCTTAAAATTGAGTAGCGTTTGAATATTTGGCCAATACTTAGAGTGTTGTAACATAACTTACTAACAAACCAAAGTAAATAGTTAAACTTACTTGTAAGATATAAGTAAGTTTTCCCCTGGTATTGCAGCTGTTCATAGGCGACTGGTAACCTCTTACCATTAGGTGAGCCGCATGATCTTTTGCGTCTCTTATATAAAAAAATCAGTAAGAAAATCCCCAAGAGTCTTACTAGTAAGTTTAATAAATAGATAGTATATATGTACCGGGTGTCCGGTGGCAGAATTAGGATTTCAAAATTAAATAATAAAAAAACTGCAAAATATTTTTTTTTATTTCAATGACTATAACAAAGAAGGGAAGTGCGGGTTTTATTTCTTAAAAAATTATTTCGTCTAAATGTTGACCATCACGTCGGACACACTCTTGGAATCTGGCTTCAGTATTGCGCGCCACTCGCTGGAGAAGGGACGTCGGGATGCCATTAACCTCGCGAACGATATTTTCTTTTAATGCTGAGATGGTCGGTGGGGCGGTTTCATAAACTTTACTTTTGAGGTACCCCCACAGAAAAAAGTCCATGGGGGGTAAGATCCGGCGACCTGGGTGGCCAGGGGATGTCAGCAAAACGGCTTATCAATTTGTTAGGGAACAAATCACGAAGAAGCGCCATGGTCTCTCTAGCAGTGTGAGGCGTGGCGCCATCTTGCTGAAACCATGTCTGTGAACTGTAGGCAGGATGTTCTCTTAATATTGGCAGGAAAAAATCGTTAAGCATTCGCCGATAAGAAACGCCGGTTACAGTAATGGCTTGTCCTTGACGATTTTCAAAAAAATAGGGTCCGATTATTCCTCTGCTTGACAATGCACACCAAACCGTCACTTTGGGACTGTGAAGTGGCTGTTGATGTTTCAATCGCGGGTTCTGTCCTTTAGGTGACCAATAACGGCAGTTCTGTTTATTTACACTTCCATTTAAATGAAAATGGGCTTCATCGCTCCAAAAGATTGTGTTCACTGTACGAAATCGCTGCAACATTGTTTCGCAGAAACTTTTGCGCCAATTGTAATCATTAGGCTTAAGCGCTTGCACAATTTGAATTTTAAAGGGGTGAAGTTTAAGGTCCTTTTTCAATATTTCGTGCACAATCGTTTTTGGGAGCCCTAGAGCAGCCGCTCTCTTACGCACGGACTGTCGCGGGTTATCGCGTAAACTGTTTGCGACAAGTTCGATGTTGTCATCAGTCCTCGACGTTCTGCTGGATCCCGGCCGCGGATTATTTGCTGCTGAACTTGTTTTTCTGAACCTCCGCACCCACAATCGAATCAAATTTTCGCTTGGCGCATCACGTAACCGTCGGATATTGTACCGCGAACAAAATCTTCGACGAGCAATAGCACAGGAATCGTTTGCTTTAAAATAAGCTTCGATTGCGAACGCACGTTGTTCACCCGTCCACTGCGACATCGTGACTAAGGAACCCGCACGAATGACGAATCGAACGTGACCCCCCGCCCGCCCCTCCGCTAACGGTTCGAAAACAGTTCGAAATTTAAATCCTAATTCTGCCACCGGACACCCGTTATTTTTTTGTCATTTCAAAAAATACACAAATATAAATCCAACTTAATGTTATGTATTTAATTGAGTTACTTATTTAGTAGTACAGAGTAACAAAAATTAATCTAACACCTCGCCCTCTCACCATATTTAAGATTAAAAAATAGACCATTACTATTTTTTCACACAATTACAATGCCGAAAGTTCGCCGTAGTCTCAAAGCACCACCCGAAGGATGGGAACTAATTGAACCTACTCTTGAAGAGTTAGAACAAAAAATGCGAGAAGCTGAGACAGAACCACATGAAGGCAAAAGAAAACAAGAATCTTTGTGGCCTATATTTAAAATTCATCATCAGAAATCCAGATATATTTATGACCTGTTTTATAGACGGAAGGCTATTAGTAGTGAACTTTATCAGTACTGTCTTGATGAGAAAATAGCCGATGCCAACTTGATTGCTAAATGGAAGAAGACTGGGTATGAAAATCTATGTTGTTTGAGATGTCTACAAACAAGGGATACAAATTTTGCAACCAACTGCATCTGCAGAGTAGCTAAAAGGAAGCTAGAAGAGGGTAGAATATTAGAATGTGTCCATTGTGGCTGTAGATGTTCAGGATAACACTATACTATAGATTTAATAAATAATAATTTAATAAATAAGAAAGAAAACTCCCGGTATAGTACTTACAATTCACGAGTGCGGTCGACCTTTGGATGTGGTTCGACACGTGCATGCACAGTGTGATAGTGTGCGTGCCTGGCGGAGCGGTCGTCCGCTGGCAACTGACCGCTCCGTCAGGCACGCACACTGTCACACTGTGCATGTACATCAAGAATTATAATAGTCTTATTCTTAAGACTATTTGTTAAGACTACTATGCGAATAAATCAAAATTTTCATGATTTCTGGTGAATATTAATGCAATGCTGTTTCATAGTTTTGTTGGTTTTAAACGTTTTGTCACATGAAGGGCACTTCACGCTCCTAACTGTACTATGTTTTATCATATGCCGCTGTAACGCGTACACTGCGAACGACTTCCAGCCGCATATATTGCACTGCGTGTTCCTCTCTCGCAGATGCGACTCCTTCACGTGCCGCAACATCGTACTTTTGTACACGAACGTCTTGGCACAGTATTGACAACTGATCACCTTCCTATCACCATGCACGTTCATTGTATGCTGTGCTCTTTTGTACTGCGTCTCGAACATCTCCAGGCAATTAAAACACTTGTATTTTTTCCCATGCACGTTCTGCATATGCGTTCTTAGTTTTGTATATCGGAGTAGGATACCGCACTGTCTGCATTTAACGCCGTCACTGTGTTCCGATCGGATGTGATAGCGCAGATAGATCAAGCTTCTGTAATACTGCCCGCAGATGTCACAGAGCACATCATTGCCACCCTTATGGTCCTTATTTGTGTGCACTAGAACGTGACTAAACGTGTAAAATTTCTTATCACAGCAAAGGCAATAGACGAAATTATCGTCCAATTTGAACGCGCTCATGCATCTACCGATTGCTTCGTTGAATTTAATACCGTGTTTGTTTACTAGATGATCTATCAATTCGTTTAAATCCGTTATTGCATCGGTGCACAATTTACAAGCAATATTCGAAACATCCACATAGACAACAGACTCCCAATAACTATTTACGGCGACGTGCAGTTCCTTAGTAAAGTTATGCAGTGACTGATGTAATCTCCATTCGTTAGGTGTTTTGAAAATTTCCCGACAGAAGAAGCATCTGTAGAATTTCCTCAGCCATCTGAAGGGCGTCAGGGTTGAATTCTGCAGAATTTGAATGACGTTCTTTCTAATGATTTTCCTCCTTTCCTTGGCGGAGAAACCCCTGTGTCTTTGTATGGACAGTACTGTTAAACCATCATCGGATACGTCATCTTCTTTAACGCATGCAGTTTCATGTTTCTCCGATTCTGTGGCATTCGTACAGTCGCCTGAAAGTAAAATTTCTTCTGAGATTTTTTTATCAAATGCTTTCAGTGTTAATTTAACTCCAAGCATATTCCTTTTTGATTTCTTATATTTACGCGAACACTACACATTGATTAAAACTACTTTTACGGATTTTATCGCGTTTATTTTTAGTATTTTTTACTTAAAATTATAAATAAACGCGATAAAATCCGTAAAAGTAGTTTTAATCAATATTCCTTTTTAATTAATAAGTAACTTCGAGCTCTAGTGTCTCTGCTTCGTAGCCATGTTTCCTTTTTTCTATTTAAGATAAAATACTAGCACCACTATTATCACCATTATTCTCGCTAACTGCATCATCTAAGTTAAAATAGTAAGGAGCAGTTCATGGTAGTGGTCAACTGGCGGAGTCGAAGCCATGAAGTTTTGTATAGCTCTCCGTAACAGTGAACAATTACATTACTGTTTATCGCTTGTAGCATGTTTAGTTATTGACGAATTTTATGCGCCATTTTGTTTTTAATCAGATCTTTATACGTCATCTTCTATTGTGTTGTGGAAGAAACATTGTGTTAAGAAAGCCTCGGAGTAGGTTTACAACAAACCCATTTTCTCAATGCTTATACTATCGGTGCTCATAAATTATGTTTATTGTAGTGATGTGCATGTCAAACAAGAATCATCGATAATAAAACCGTATTGAGTGACTCATTCCAGTATTAACTGACTGTGTAGTGGCGGTGTAAGAATCCACTACTCCATATCATCCCCGTGGGTGTTATAAAAGAGTCGCCTTCGTCGTAAGATGGAAACGAATCAAGATGGGCAGCAGCGTCTTCCAAATAACGACTTAAAATAAAAAATGCGGTTGCCAAGCTGCTTGCCATGCGTGGCAACAATCCCCTCTACGAGGCAATCTATGGGGGAGGCCTATGTTCAGCAGTGGACTTTAAAAGGCTGTATATGGTAACGGAGTGATGACTCACGCTCACGAGCTTACAACGATATCAAATGACTCGTATTAATTTGCAATTAGTTTTACTTTTAAATACACTTTTTCAACCATTGAAGTAATATGTACTTACGTACTAGAACAGCTATTTCAAACAAAAAATGTGCGCTACTCTGTGTTCGCGCGGTTGGTTTTTTTATCATAGAATAAACATAGGTAGAATGATCAGTAGGTAATAGTAGTAAATAACATCGAGATATTTTTTCAATTTTGTCATTTATATTGTATATTATATTTGCTTATTTAATATAATAGTACCCGGATGACCGAGCTCTGCTCGGTTTTTTTAAGTTACATTTATATACAAATTACATGAATAATGGTTTTTGATCTTATTGACATAATAGTAAAAACTGAACTGGTTATTTGAATAAAAAATCATGGTAGTGCAATTAGTTTAATTAAAATTTTCGTATTTTTAAAAAAATACTAAAAAAGGGCTCGAAATAATAGATTTTCTCACAAAAGAAGGGAACTTGAAAAAAAAAGGAAAAAAGTCGGACCCAAGACGGGACGCGAACCACGGAACTCCGATATCACGCCCGAACAGCATCTCATCTGAGCTATTACGATCGATGGTAACCTGTCAAAATTTACCTTCTTATATTGGCAGTTTTTTATTGCGTGAAAACACGGACAAAAGGACATTTTCTAAAAATAAATCCTAGCTAGATCGATTTATTGCCCCCGAAACTCCCTGGACACTAAATTTTATGAAAATCGTTGGAGCCGATCCCGATTATATGTGTATATACAAGAATTGCTCGTTTAAAGGTACAGTATTACATAATATCATATCACAATTACATTTTAATGATATTTTTATCTCAGTATTTTAAAATGTATCTATGTCAAATATAAAAAACATACTAAATGTATGTTTAATAAAACATTTAAATTACAATTATATTTATTTAAATTAGAATAAGAGTCGTTCATAAATGCTGGGCACTTTGGGACACACTGGGAGTTAAAAATGGACGAATTTATTCCACATTGACTTTGATGTGGAAACCTAAAAATAAAATAAAGGAATAATGAACAGATTTAAATATAAAAAATTAGTCTAATTACGATAACTTAAGCGAGTATATTTCTACAAAAAAAAATGTGTATAATATTATATTCGTCCACTTAAGTACCTACAGAAATGTCGCATCTGAACAAATGAATTTCATAATTTCTATAATATTATATAATATTCATAAATTCTATATTCCATGACACGAGATGGCGCCTTAGGAATAATTTGTTTTATTATTAATATATAATACTTTTTATCGATTAAGTATCTTATTAACCGATGAAAAGTAATTCCTTAGTTTTTACTGACATTTCTTGAATTATTTGTATAATATCTAAGTACACACGACGGCATATTTTTATCAAGAGATTTTTTTAAATCAACACAACATGTGTCAACTCTACAAGCACCTAGCGAGTGACTGATTAAAGTGCGGTGCAAGCACCGCAGTTGAATGGAACCGAGTAGCTGAATGCAGTGTCGCCTCTAGTACGTAGTATATAATAAATAGCTCAATATTTTCAACAAATCGATGTGAACCCGGAGAAGAGCTCCGCCGTTCACTTCGACTATAAACGACGCCGTCTCAAAAACACTCCACCAATACGTATGCTAGGGACCCCTGTCCCCTGGCATACGTCCGCCAAATATTTAGGTGTCACTCTAGACACAGGGCTCACCTTCAGGCCCCACGTCAAAAGAGTAACCCGTCACGCACGGTTTTATCTGAGTAGGCTCAACAGTATGTTGGGCCGACACAGTAAAATGTCCCTCAGAAACAAGCGTACCCTCTATAAGGTCTGTATACGACCAGTCTTTGCCCACGCAAACCCTAATATTATTAATGAACTCCAAACAGTTCAAAACCTTTTCTGTCGTCGAGCTGCGAACGCACCTTGGTACGTCCGTAATGCCGACCTTCATGGGGACCTAGAGCTCCCAACAATTCAACAATTTCTTAAAAAACTCTCTGAGAACTTCTTCAAAGCCTCAGAGTCGCACCCAAACCAATTAATTCGTGAGGCAGCTTCTTATGCAGCCCCACCCCCCTCTCGCTATCGAGTCCGCAGGCCGAGAAACTCTCTCTCGGACCCGCCTAATAAACTGACAAACGACCTGAACTGTCTCCTGGCGGCTCAGGCCAACTCTAATTAAATTAAATTATTGTATTAACTAACATTAATTTGCCTTCGTAGGCACTCCCTTAGCGGCTCGTAGCCGCCTGCGCCCTCTTTTCCCAAAAGAGGGTCGCTCATGATAAGGCACAATACAGCTTAATCAGCCGGCTGCCTGTCCCCAAAGGCGGTTTTTAGAGGGTATCACTTAGGGTCCCCGGTAGGACAGTGAGTCCCTCATAACCACGATAGACCGGCTATCGTGGTATGCGTAATGCATTTTCCGCCTCCCTACGTATACGGTAGCCCTTTAATTGCTTCGGGCGCAAAAAAAAAATTTTTTTCAACACATCTTATTTTAACAATGTAATGTAATTACAATTTAAACTATAATTTAAGAAAGTTTCATACAACAAAGGTAAAAGTTGTCAACTTTTTACCACTTAAAAAAACACGAAAGGATTCAAAGAGCGGGTTAAATTTTATGAAGTTATTATCTTCGTAAGAGCCATGGTAGCTCAGATGGTTGGCGCTCGATGTAAATTTTACAGTACACGACCCGGGTTCGATCCCTGCCGACACCAATGAAATTGTTAGTTGAAATTTCAAATGTTAATTTACCACGTGCTCATCGCCAACACGCTTTTGGACAGCGCGGTGGACATTTTCTTGCCATAAAACCCTGTCAGAAATTAGGGAAGACCTGTTCCCAGCAGTGGGACGTATATAGACTGTAACCGTAACTTTTTATTATCTCCGTATTTTAACACGCTTTTAGCTTCATATCTCTATATATTTATCAATGTAACGGAATCTTTTAATGCAATTTTCACCAACTTGTAGACGACCGATTAACCTGAAAATTCGTACTCGTATAGAGGACCAATTATAATACAATAATTTAATAATTTTATCCTAGTATCCTGATCAGAATCACCAGCATAAAATAAAATAATTATCAGGATTATCACACCTCAAGATTAATCCGTGTTAAGTTTTTTTAAACACATTATTATTACTATACTTAAATATCAATGTACAGTTACAAGATACAAAAATACATAGATACAAATGGAATGGCAAACGGTGATATCATAGAGGATGGATTTACGTGACTTCAGGCGTGAACGTGAATGTGGACGGTTTTCGCGGGGTTTACGCGCGTTCACGCCTGTTCCCCGATCAGTCATTGCAGTTCACCCTTCGCGCGGCGTTCACGCGTACACATCCGCATTCACGACCCCGTGCCAATTCGTTTCGGACTACAAAGGCGTACAACGATGTATTTTAGCCATTTTCTTTTTTTCCAACGCTTTCTAATAAATTTCTTGTTTTGGATGTCTAAATAGTGATATGTTGCCACAGCAAATAAAGTTATTGCAACAGCAGCTTCTACGCCCGTTTCGCGGCGGGTTTCACGAACGATTGTGAGCATCCCGTGAATGTGGAGGGACGGATTTGTGCCGTGAATTCGTACGTAAATTAACGGCACTAATGTGGAGCCGCCATTATAGTTTTCTATGGCGTTAACGATCGTAGATAATTATCTTGGTTTGGCTGATGGATAAGGAAGATGTGAAACTACATTTTTATGATTATTGCTGCAGCACTAATGGGTCGCTCGACCGCAGTAGGACCACGTTACGTTAAACAGCAGAACAATATTGCTGTACGTATGGTGAGTGTACAGAACCGGAGACCCTCGTTACTGATGACGAGGCATTCCATCTTAGTCCTCAGGGATGACAACGCATCTGCATTTTAATTCTTAATCAAGGATGGGTGTAGATGTGTATGGGCCACAGCGTCAATTTACTGTCAGATGGACTAAGATATGTTCTTTTTTACCATTATTCTATAAAAAAAACACGTCAAATACCCAAGTCGGTAACGGGTAGCATCGTCAGAGATGCTAGACATCCGGTACCGCTAATAG